AGCAGTCTTTGCTGAGGCACTGCGTCTGGATGCTCCCCTCCACTGTGTTAGCAGTCTTAAAGCTGTGGCCGTGGCAGCACAAGCAGCCTTGTTTGGCCCTGAGAAGGAACGTTGTAATCCAGCTGTGCACTCATTAGTGCTGGATGAGTCTACGATGGCAGCCCCTGCGGTTTTCCAGAGCTTGGTTACTGTCTGCTCTTTTCTCTGGGATACTGTACCCTGTGAGCTCCAGTCACCCTGGGCCTCCTAAGTTTCCTGTTGTCCCTTCCTCTGAGACTGCCTGGCCTGTTAGCCGTTCACCCTCACTGCTCTGAAGTCTGGACGTCTCTCCAGGCTCACGAGGCATAATCGTACAGTTCTGTCTCTTTTTCATTTTTTTTGGGGGGGGGAAATCACTGTTCTATACCGTATGTTGTTCCATTCCAAAACCATTATTTTATATATTTGTTTGTTTACTTTTGTAGTTAAGGTAAAAGAGCAGTTGAATCCAGTTCTCCCCTCTTGACTGGCAGTGCATGTACTTAGGTATAAAAAGGAGAGGAGAGAAATAGGTAGAAAAGGTTGCTAAACATTATCTTAAAAACAGGAATAAGAACGTTAGCAAGTGTTTAAATTGAACTTCATGCCCTGAAGTCCACAGTGTAGTTTACTTAATAATTTTTCAAATTCTAAAAATTATTAAATTATTTTTATCTCTGTGTGTGATCATGTGAGTGTGTTTTTAGGTACATGTGTGCCACGGTGTGTGTGTGTGTGTGTGTGTGTGTGTGTGTGTGTGTAAGTCGAGGACAGCGTTCAGCGTTTTAAGTCAGTCTTCCCCTTCCTTCTCAATCACCAGCCCCAGGTGTGGCTGCATGTGCTTTGCAGGGTGAGCGTGTATGTTTTTTATTTCATCTTTTGCTTCAATCATTGTTAGCTTGTTAACATTTTGTGATTAATTTTTGGGTCACTTTTCCTGTAGGTATTGCTTGATTTGGAAAACCTTGAAAAACAGGGAAAAAAAATTGTAAGAAAATGACGACTTTTCGAAATCATTGTCCACATTTGGATTCAGTTGGTGAAATAACAAAAGAGGATTTGATACAAAAATCTCATGTAAGTTATATTGTAATCATCCTTAAAAAAACCATACTCACTTTCCTCTTTAATACAAATTTAAGTAGATTAATAGAACACTGGTGTCAAATTTAAACTTACGCGTTGCTACAGTGAACTGTGTCTGTTTTCTCCGACATAGCAAATATCTCCTGTGTTTACTCTCCTAGGGGGCTTGTCAGGACTGTAAAGTCAGAGGACCCAATCTGTGGGCATGCCTGGAGGTATGTATATGCTTATATAGGTTTTTTCCTGAAAAGTTTGCTTTTGTAAATTTATACATATTAATAACAATTTTTGATACATTAAAGAATTTTATGTGAGTATACTTTTAAAATAATAACAAAAAATTAAGGTTCAAACTTTGGATGGATTTTAATTCAGGTATGTTTGTAGAGTTTAGTAACCCACTCAGATATTTTTATCTTTACTTTTTGTTCAAGTTGGAATAACTTTCAGTTTTGAAAAACTTAGTCTGGTCTTTGTGGTTGATACCTTATAGTTACGTTATCTAACTTTGGGAAGTAATTATAGAATTAAAACATAAAATCAGAACTTAAGTGGGACTCTTGTCATGCTGTTTGTAAACTCAGTGCGTCTGTGATAACATGCGTGCCTTTTATTTACAGAACCGGTGTTCCTACGTGGGCTGCGGCGAGTCTCAGGTCGACCACAGCACCCTGCACTCGCAGGTATCTACTTGGGGCTGGGCCGCACGGCGGTGTTGGGACTGGGAATTGGATCCCGGGCTGCACCTAAGCCGAGCAGGCACTGGGTCAGCACTGAGCTGAATCCTGACTGTGCGAGAGCGTTTTCGGAAGAGCTTGCAGGAATGGAGAATCCATGTAACATTAATCAGGCTGTGCCTGGCGCCCGCGAGGCTTCTGTGCAGCCCAGCCCAGCCTGGCCTAGAATCTGGAATCCTCCCTGTGACTCCAGTATGTCACACCACAGATGTGACACCACACCAGCCTAGAGTTCTTGCTTTTTAGAAAGTATATTCGCTAAAACTTTGCTTGTTCTCAGTGAAAGGCCGGAGGGTGGGGTTTTGAGAAAATCAGTATTAATACATGACTGTAGTTGGGTATTGATAAAAGAAGTAAGTTTACATGGATGTGTGTGGAGATTGCAGGTGTAGTATCAGACATGGAGGTTGAAGTTAGTGTAGATGTGTAGGTTTCTGTTCGTTTTAAAATTAATTTTTATTAGTGTGTGTGTTAGAGGCGTGTGAATGCCACCTCATGCGTGGGGGTCAGAGGACGCTTTTTGGGAGTTGGTTCTGCCCTTCCTCTGTAGGTTGTAGGTTTGATCTCAGGTTATCAAGCTTGTATCAAGTGCCTTTTCCTGCTGAGCTGTCTTGCTTCCCAGTGCAGGTTTAACTGCCTGACTCCCTTCCTAGCGATCCAGCTCTTGCCCTTTCCCCTGCTCTACACACCATTCTGATTGAGTGCCAGTGATATCGCTCCCATTGTGTGGCACTTCCCTTGTGACTCTGACGTGAATCTCGGGTCTGTTAGGTAGATCTTTACTCTAAACTAAGTTTCTCTAATGAATGCTGTCTTTAGATGCCCACTGATAATCTGCAGCAGCTAGTCTCAACCATGTTTCCTCGTGAGACTGAATGTTTGCAGCCCTAAGGCAACATTCTACAGTTTCTTCCCTGTGCGTCAGAAGTGGTACTTTCTATGGCCATCCCTTAGAAAATTGAGAAATTAGCCAATCATATCTTGTATATTCTGTGCACTAAGACCTCACACAAAGCACCCTCTGAGAAAGGCTATTGGCCAATCTGAGAGCTTATTTTTACTGTTGCTTGAGTTGTATTGTGCTTCCATTTAAATAATGTGTGTTCCTTTGTAGTTCTGTTCTCCTAGATTAAACAAACTAGCACTCCCAACTCCCTAAAAAAATTTCATGTAGCCCAGGCGGGGCTCAGATCTGCTGTGCAGTGGAGATGATCTTGAGCACGTGATCCCTTGGCTGCTAGGATTACGGCTGTACCGCCCATACTGTTTCCTTCTGCTCTCCTTCACTGCTGTGTTTACCTCCGTCCTGTGAGTGAGGGAGACAGGTGCTAGAATAACTTGGAGAGCAGGTTAGGTGCTGTTACTATGTAAGCGTCTGCAGTTACTCTGATATGCTTAGGTGTTGTTGCTATGTAAGCGTCTACAGTTACTCTGATATGCTTAGGTGTTGTTACTATGTAAACGTCTACAGTTACCCTGATGTGCTTAGGTGTTGTTACTATGTAAACGTCTACAGTTACCCTGATGTGCTTAGGTGTTGTTACTATGTAAGCGTCTGCAGTTACCCCGATATGCTTATGTGTGTGCTCTAGATTAGCTGTCTGAGTAGTCTGTTGCTCGCCAGAGGCTGGGGTTCATTTTGGGTTCCTTTGCAGAAGCATTCTCAAGCATATTTTCCCTCCTGTGAGCTGTGTAGGAGACCAAGCATTATCTTACTGTGAACCTCACCACTCTTCGAGTATGGTGTTACGCTTGCAGCAAAGAAGTATTTTTGGATAGAAAATTGGGAAGTCCTCCTTCGTTGCCACATGTAAGACAACCTCAGCAAACACAAGACAACACTGTCCAGGTAATCTGAGCTTAGATAATATATGTTCAGAAAATCATTTCAAAATTTGTCGTGCAGTTGGAATTTTACGAAACAGGCCTGGGTACCTTACTTGTACTTTTAAAGCCAAACGAAGCACTCATGCCTTGCTTCACTCTTTTTTAGCACAGAATGAATGGGAGGTCAGGGTGGGATTTGAGGTGGAAAACACCTATCAATTGTAAAAGCTCTTTAAGGAAAGGTTGGAAGGGATATTCCATATCAGGTGCGAGATTTTCATTAATAACCTATAAAGAGTGCTTGTGTTCAAGTTCCTTTAAAAAAATTTAAAAATTAACTACAGAGTAGTAGGCTTCCATCCAGCTTTTTAAAAAATATTCTCTCTTTCTGCAAATCTGAATGTAGGAAGGCGGCAAGGGCCTCTCTGCAGCTGAGTGAACACAACTTCTCTCCTGTTCTCTCCCCTTGGCCAACTGCTACTCGCTGTTATCAGTGAGAACGAGTAGAGATGCCAGAACTTAGTTAGCAACAGTGTTAGTTTCTCCCCTGGACCAGGAGACTCAACAGACAGGTTTGTGTAGATGGAGGACTCTGGTTTGCAGAGGTCTGTGCCATGTTTGTGGTTCCATGTGCATGTCTGGCAAGCACAGCGATGCCCAGAGAAACAGTGGGTCTGTGGATGGGCTCTCTGCCATGTCCTTCGTTTCTGTAGAAGTTACAGAGATCAGAAAAGACAAGGCATGCCGTTGATTTACATACAATTAGTTCTTGAGCTTAAATTCAGAAATGCCATTTATAAAATGTTTTTGGGGGACTAAAAAAGCGTCTCTGGTTAAGAGCACACACTGCTCTCACAGAGGACCTGAATTTGGTTCCTAGCACCTCTACTGGGTAACTTAAAACTGCCTGTAACTCCAGCTCCAGGGGGTCTGGCCTCCCCTGCACCTGTTCTCACATATACACATTCTCACATAGATCTGCAAATATATAATTAAAAATAAAAAAGCATGGTTTTGGCTGGGTGGTGGTGGCACACGTCTTTAATCCCAGCACTCAGGAGGCAGAGGCAGGCAGATCTCTGTGAGTTTGAGGCCAGCCTGGTCTACAAGAGCTAGTTCCAGGACAGACTCCTAAGCTACAGAGAAACCTTGTCTTGAAAAAACAAACAAAAAAGCATGGTTTTGTAGATATTTGCTTTCTGTAAAATATAAATGCAAATTTTATAATAATTGCTAATGCCATAAACTCTTAGGGTTCTATCTTTATCATTGTTATGTTATTTTTTTTAATTCTTAAAATTATTTGGATGTGTGTCCATGTGAAGGTGTGTGCACAAGTAAAAGCAGATGCCATAGGGCTCTAGGAGAGGCATGAGACCCCCCAGAGCAAGAGTCTAGACAGTTTAGAACCCAGTGTAGGTGCTGCGGATCAAATTAGAGTCCTCTTGCTCTTAGCACGAAGCCATCTTTCCAGCCCTGCTGTTATGGTCGCTTTTTGAGCAGAGTCTCATGTAGCCCAGGATGGCTTCTAACTTACTACCAGCCAGGACTGTCTGCACTCCTTACCCTTTTGTCTCTGCTTCATGAGTGCTGGGGTAGCAAGCATGTGCCACCATGCTGACCAGTTTGTTTTAATATCTTTTAACAGTTTTGCAGTGTAGATGTTATATAAGTTAAAATTAAAGTGTGTTTTGATATTGTAAGAATTTATTCAAATGTGTTATGTCTTTTTGTTATTAAGGATTTTAAAATACCCAGCAATACAACACTGAAAACCCCTCTGGTTGCTGTCTTTGAAGATCTGGATATAGAACTAGAAGAAGAGGATGAGCTGAAGGCGAGAGGTAAGGCTCCTCTGTCGGCTCCTCTGCGGCATGGCCGCTCATGAGCTCTGAGAAGTGTGACCTTGCAGCCTTGTCAGTGTCACTGTGTCACAGCTGAGGCCACCTTTTGCTACTCTTGCCTTTTGTGAGCCTTTTGCTCCCAACCTATTTTTGAGTTTTCACCTGCCAGTGATTGCTGGGCTGATGTGAAGGTATTGCCTTAGCAGGCTGCCTAAGGAAAGCCGGACTGTGGAACCTGTAATCTGAACTCTCAGGAGGCTGAGGTCAGCCCTGAGCCACTAATTTTACTTCCACCCACCAGAAAAGAAAAGAAAAGAAAAGAAAAGAATAAACTTTTCAAGGGGGCAGCATTCATTTGGAGACAGAATCAGGAGATTCCAGTGGACCTCTTGCCCTGTTCATTCAGATTTCAGCTCCTAGATTGTCAGACAGTCTATTAGTATTTTCCATATTTTTTCAGGCTCAGAATCTTTAATATGAACCTTGATTTTCCTGCTAGTTCCTGGAACACAGGACTGTGTGCATATCAAATAAGCACTTTTCCCTGAGCTACATCATTTGTCCTTGAATTTTACTTTTTTATGGTTGTCGTTCTTTTGCTTTTTTTTTTTTTGAGACAAGTTCTTTCTATTATGCAGCTCTGGCTGTCCTGGAACTTGTTACGTAGACTGGGGTGACCTTGAACTCACAGAGATCTACTTGCCTCTGCCTCCTTAGTGCTGGGATTAAAGGTGTGCACTACCATGGTTGGCTTGTAATTCTATTTTTGAAGTATTTGCTGTTGCTCCAGTGTGTGATAGTACTTGATCTCAGGGGCTCAAAATGTTGAGTACATGTTTTGCCTCTGAGTTAGCATCTACACTGACGTTTTTTTCTTTTAATGATGAGATAAACTGATAAAAACAGAGCACACATAGCAGAGAAAAGGTCCAGCCTTGGAAGGGAGCTGCTGTGAGGGCTGGCATCATCAGGTCAGCTTCCACGTGGGCTTTGGTAGGATGAAAATTGTAATCTTAACTCAAAGGGTTTTTTTTGTTTTTTGTTTTTTTTTTTTTAAAATGTATTGTTAAGCCAGGCATAGTTGCACACATGTTTAATCCCAGCACTTGGAAGAGGCAGGCAGATCTCTGTGAGTTCGAGGCCAGCCTGGTCTACAAGAGCTAGCCAGGATAGGCTCCAAAGCTACAGAGAAACCCTGTCTCGAAAAACCAAAAAATTTTGTTTAGTGAAAGATTTTTAGAAGCCTGACCTCTGAGTTATTCAGACTGTTGTCTTGTATTTCCATGTTTTGTTAGTGTTCTTTTCTTGTTGTCGTCCCCTCTGTGTGTGCGTGTGCATGTGTGTGTCTGTGTGTGTGCACAAGGCATTGAATTCAGGACTGTGTACACAGTAGGCTCATGCTCTACCAGTGAGCAGATTTTAACCCATTTCTGTAGCTTAACTTTTGAAGTCATTCTCAATAAAAGCCTAGATATTTATGTCATTTATGTCTTCTTGAATGGTGACTTATAGTTGTTCTTCCTTCATAGGCCTTACAGGTCTAAAAAACATCGGAAATACTTGTTATATGAATGCGGCTCTCCAGGCTCTTTCTAACTGGTGAGTAGTGAGACCAATACAGATTTCTGAGCTTGTTGCTACAGTAGGTGACAAACTCCCAGAGCAGAGAGGCAAGAACCTGGGTGAGGACACCTGCAGTCCCACTGGGTTTGCTGTGCATGCAACTAAGTTTGTCATGTTGTTTTTCTTTTGAGAGTATCTTTTAGCCCAGGTTGGCCTGGAACACTATAGCTGAGGATAACCTCGAATTCCTGATCCTTTTCAAGTACTGGCATTACAGGCATCTTTAAACATACCCAGTTTATGCCTGCAGTTTTCTAAGGAGATGATCCTGGTTTAGATTTCCAGGACTATGTCCTTGAGCAAAGTATTTGTGTTGCTTTTTGCAGAGCTTGGCTTTAAACTTAGGGTCTTAAGCCTACTGCTCTACTGGATGATGTCTATGGCAAGTGTATTTTTGTACAGAAAACGAGGAGCCTACACTTATCAAATACTGAGATCATTTTTAGGTTAGAAATCTTATGAAAGTGTTTTAGATATTTCTGTGTGGAATCCTGTGAATAGAACAGTTATTTTTTTTCTCCTTGCTGTGGCATAGACTGAGTGATTGTTATTGATGGCTTGAGTCGGGGGGAATTCAGAACCAGTGACTGGCATTGTCAAAGCCTAGCCTGAGTTTGTAAGCAGCAGCCTTGGGAAAGAGCTTAGCACCGAGAACCTGGAAGAAAATCTGTGTGGCAGACATAGTAATTGAGAAGTGATTACATAGTTCCATGTGCAGTCTACATTAAAATTGAAGTCTTTTGTGTGGTAGGAGACCACCAAAGTCCTTCTACTGCAGGGTAGTAATCTATTTTATAGCACTGGTTGCCATGCAGATAGTGGATTGCAGGCAATTATAGAAAAAAGTTTAATTTGGGAAAACAAGACTTGCAGTAGTCTAGGTAAGAATAATGGTGTCTTGCACAGTCTTGGAGTACATGCATTGGAGAAAGACAGTTTTTAGGAGAAGAGATGGTTGCTAGGATATGATTAGAGTAAATGGGAAAAGGAGGAGATATGAATTAATAATAGAATCATATGATGAAGGAACTGTTTTATGCTTAATTTTGTGTTTTATGTGTGCAAGTGTTTTACCTACACTGTATGTCGATACACCATGTTCATGCCTGGTTCCCACAGAGTCCAGAGAAGGGCATTGGACCCCCAGGAACTAGAGGTGGTTATGAGGTTCCAAGTTGGGGCTAGGAATTAGAACTGGGTCCTCTGGAGAAGCAGCAGGCCTCTTAACTGCTGACTCTGGGTTTTCTCTTCCTGTCTCATTCTCTTTCATATGCACAATGCTGATGGTAACAAGAATGTAGGAGATTGTAACAACAATAACAACTATTATTATTATTATTATTATTATTATTATTCAGGTTCACTTGAAAATAAAATTTTGAGCATGTTAATTTAAAATGTCACGACAACTGTCAGTTTGGGCATATAAATTCAGTTGAGATAAGATGATTGGAGGCTGATGTTATACGAATTTGGTCATCACTGGTTTATTGGTGGGGATTCAAAATGATCCAAGAGAAGAGTGTATTTAAAAGAGAAGGAAAATCAAAGAATCAGAGTCATGGAGAACCATGGTGCCTGAGAAGAGTACTAAGAGAAAAACAAGTTGCATGAGAGGGATAGTAGAAGAATACATTGGTTGAGATTTGTTTAGGAATGAGGGCAGCTGACTTGGTGCATGTTTGCACTTAGTGTAAGCAGGAGGAGACTGAGGCAGAGTCGTCATGAGTTTGCAGCCAACTTCAGCTACATAGGAATCCCTCCTCCCCTCCCACCATTTCTTTCTCTTTTCCCATCTCTTCTTGCTCCTCAGCATCTCAGTCCTTCTCTGCTTGTTGCCATGCATTCTTCCTCTCTTGTTTTCTCCAGATAGAACTTCTCTGTGTAGCTCAGGTTAGGTTTGGACTCATGGTGTTCCTCCCACTCCTGTCTCGTAAGTGCTGGAACTACAGGTTTGTGCAGCAACACCCAATTCAAGACTCTTCCTAAAATCGGAAACAAAAACAAAAAAGAGATTGGTTGTTGTGATTCAAGCATTTTTATCCCAGCATTTAGAAAGCAGAGGTCTTCTTAGTGAGTTCCAGGTCAGCTAGAGTGACCTAGAAAGATCTTGACTTCAAAAGAACAATACTCAGTTTTATATGGAAAAACAAAAAGCCCAGGATAACTGAAACAGTCCTGCACAAGAAAAGAACTTCTGGAGGTATCACCATCCCTGATTTCAAGCTCTATTACAGAATTATAGTAATAAAAAAACACATGATATTGGCATAAAGACATATACGTTGATCATGGAGTTAAATCAAAGACCCAGATGTAAATCCGTATACCTATGGACGCCTGAAATATACAATGGGTAAAAGACAGCATCTTCAACAAATGGTGCTGGTCTAACTGGATGTCTGCATGTAACAGAATGCAAATAGATAATTACCATCCTGCACAAAACTCAAGTCCAAGTGGATCAAAGACCTCAATATAAAACCAGATACAGTGAACCTGACAGAAGAGAAAGTGAGGGACAGCCTTGAACACATTGGCACAGGAGACAGCTTCCTGAACAGAACAGCAATCTTATAGGCACTAAGGTTAACAATTAGTAAATCAAACCTCTTGAAACTGAAAAGCTTCTGTAAGGCAAAGGAAACCATCAAAAAGACAAAATGGCAGCCTACAGAATGGGAAAAGATTTTTACCAACCCCACATTAGAGGGCTGATTTCAAAATATATAATGGACTTAGGAAACTAAATAATCAAAAACCTCAAATAATCCAATTAAAAATGGGTTACAGATTTAAACAGAATTCTCAGCAGAGGAATCTCAAATGGCTAAGAAACACTTAAAAAAATGTTCAATATCCTTAGATATCAGGGAAATACAAATCAAAATGATTCTGAAATTCCATCTTAATGCTTGTCAGAATGACTAAGATAAAAAAAATGACAACTCATGCCAGAGAGGATGTGGAGCAAAGGGAACACTCCTGGTGGGAGTGCAAACCTGTGCAGCCACTCTGGAAGTCAATATAGCAGTTTCTCAAAATTGGGAATCAATTTACCTCAAGACCCAGCTATACTAGTCTTGGGCATATAGCCAAAAGATGCGTCATCCAAGCACAAGGACACTTGCTCAACCATATTCATTGTGGCGTTAGTTATAATAGCCAGAACCTGGAAACAACCTAGATATTCCTCAACAGAGGAATGGGTAAAGAAAATGTGGCAATTGCTCAGCTGTTGGAAAACATAACATGAAATTTGCAGGCAAATGGATAGAACTAGAAGAAATCATCCGGACTGAGGTAACCCAGTCCATAGCACATGAGAAAGACAAACATGGTGTATGCTTACTCGTCAGTGGATATTGGCTGTAGAGTAAAGGATAACCTTGCTACAATCCACAGACCCAGAGAGGCTGAGTGACACGGGGGAGGGGAAGTTCTCCCTGGGAAGGGGAGATAGAGTTCATGGGTGGATGGGGCAGTAGGGGTGGGAACAGAAGGGATCATGTGGGGGAGAAGGAGGATGGAGTAGGAGCACTGGCATTGGGCATTTCGGGGATGAGGTGGAAACCCACTGCAGTGGAAACTCCCAGGAATCCATGATGGCAACCCCAGTGGAGACTCCTAACCAGCCCTCTTCTGCAACCAGGCAAGGCTTTTAGTAGAGCAATTGGGACACTAACCGAGCCACAAAACCTTTGACCTGCAATTTGTCCTGCTTGGAAAATGTGCTGGGGTAAAGGTGGCACAGAACTTGTGGGAGTGGCCACCCAGTGACTGGTGCAACTTCAGACCCACTAGAGGGAGCCCACCCCTGACAGTGCCTGGAGGGCCAGGACCTAGCGGCTGGACAGCATAGAGACCTAGGATAGAACCAAATACAGCAAATATTCCTAATAATGGTCTGCTATACTTGTAGGCCAGAGCCTAGCATAATCATCATCAGAGAGACTTCGTCCAGCAAGTGATAGGAGCAAACATTAGGTAGAACTCAGGGAATCCTGCAGAAGAAGGGGAGGGAGGATGGTAGGAGTCAGAGGGGTCAAAGATACCACAAGAACACTGTCCACATAAACTAACCTGGACTCATAGGGTCTCATAGAGACTGAAGTGACAGTCAGGGAGTCTGCATGGGTCTGACCTAGGTCTTCCATATATATGTTATAGTGGTGTAGCTTGGTTGTGGGACTCCCAGTGCTGGGAGTGGGGCTGTTTCTGACTCCTTAGCCTGCTTTTGGGCCCCTTTTCCTCCTACTGGGTTGCCTCATCCAGCCTTAGTATGAGGGTTTGTGCCTAATCTTATTGTAACCTGTTGTGCCATTGTTCTGGTTCCTGTTTCTATTGCTGTGACAAAGCACCATGACCAAAAAGCAACTTGAAGGGGAAAGGGTTTATTTGGCTTATACTTCAGCATTGCTGTTTATCACCGAAGGAAGTCGGGACAGAAACTCAAAGAGGGCAGGGTCCTGGAGGCAGGAGCTGGTGCAGAGGTCATGGAGGGTGCTGGTTACTGACTTGCTCAGCTGCTTTCTTATAGAACCCTGGAACACCAGCCCAGGGATGGCTCTACTCACAATGACCTGAGCCCTCCCACATTAATCACTAATTGAGAAAATGCCTTACAGCTGGAGCTCATGAGGATTTCCTCAGCTGAGGCTCCTTCCTCTCTGATGACTCCAGCTTGTGTCAGGTTGACACACAACCAGCCCGTAAAACTGACCCGTGTCAAGTTGACAC